CATTAAAAAAAAAAAGAAAGAAAGAAAATAAACTGATCACTAGATGGCAGATAAAAAAACAAACATCTACAGTCTAATAGTGCCAAACAAAATCGCTATATCTCATATCAAAAAAATGCTTCACTACAATCCTACACTTCATCTAAAATGTGCTCACAATGCCAACTGTTTTTGTTGTTAAACCAACCAGGTGCCGCCACTTTCCAGAAGTTGTGGAGTGTTAACTAAAGGAAAATGAGGCCATATCAAAGAGCCAGAGAATGTTCCTATTGTAGTGTGGTGTTTGTACAGAGGGCCCGCCTGTTACGAGGGCCAGTGAGAGGCTGACCGGGGGAGTAATATAATGCATACATGGATCCCCCAGAGTCCATTCATGGTGTAATTGGTGTGGACAGAGCTCTCGGTCTCTGGGTTACAGTTTGGGAACTTCCTCTAATGTCCTGCTGGGAGGCCACTTTTCCCACACTACAAATACAGCAAGAAGAATCCAGCTAAACCTGGACAATGAAATCATTTATTGCTTAAAATGGCAGAGGCGTGATCTATCCTTGTTTATAATTCAAATGCTTTCTTTGACATTCTCTGCATGCTTTTGAAATCTCAGACGAAGAATATACAAATATTACAATGATGCAAAATTATTGACAACACTGCCTCAGTTCTGATTATAGACCAAACAAAAAAACTTTTCTGTAAACTTCAGAGAAGCTTTACAGGATAACACTGAAGAGTTAATGAATGTCATATAAAAACTGTGACTTGAAACGATGCAATTAGCAAATCTGAAATGCTGAAATTTAGGATATATGATGTGCAGAGCATCTGACTTAGTTCATGTTTGAGTGTATGGCTTTGCAAATTAATTTTGTCCTTATTGTGTGACAGTCATGCTTTTGGTAGTATCTCATGTTGTCACACTCTGACAAAATAAAGTCTGTTCAAGAGTGAATCTTAAACTTTGGCTTCTGTTTAACAAAAAATATATTGCTGAAAAAGTGCAATCAAATATTTTATCCAAAGTATTTGGCCCTACTACAGCAGCAAAGAGAGCCTCTGAAAGTACATTTCACTCAGAAGCTGCAGTTCAACTGTTAAATCTGATCACTACCATCTGAACTTTTACACTCCTTCCTCTAATACTATTAATCTTTCTTCAACCCCATCAAGACCAGGAGAACTTAAAGACACAGACAAGTCCTGCTTATCACTTTATAACTATTAACACACCTAAATCTGCTCCGTAGGGATTTTCCCCTAAAATAACTCTAAGGCAGTGATAGCACACCATGTGGTCCCTCTTAAGCTGAAGCTACACTTCCCGTTAAGAGTGCAGCACTAGGATGGATCTTTCCTTTGCTGACCGCGACGTGTGGGGTTTTCTGGCTGCAGCTGAAGGAGGTAAAACACTTGTCTTCACCACCCCTCCCCTTCCCTTCTCAACTGGTGATTTCACTGAACAGGAGCTTCTCTCTCTCTCTCTCTGGCTCTGTCCATCACAGCCTGTGGCCATTAATCATCTCAAGTGGACAGCGCTGACAGGCAGTTGGCTGCATCACTCTTTTATTTTCTTCTTCTTTTTTTCGTCATCGCACACCCGTAGCTCCCGTAGCTTCACTTATTGCCCCCCCCCTCCTTCCCAGCTTCACAACCCCACCTCTTGCCCCAAACCCCCATCCTCAGTAACAAAGCGACCGGGTGTCAAACCAAAACAAACAATCACCCATCTGCTTAATCGAAACCTTTGAGGTGGTTAATAGCGCCAAGCCAGCGATGAAGCTTTTCTCCGCCGTAAGTGGGGGTGAGACAGGAAGACCTGTAATGGATGTAATAAACAGTGACGTCGCTATAACTCATCATACCTAATATCCTCCACCCACACAATTTAAATGTGAGCAGCCCGAGTGCATTTATTGGACGTACATGTCAGGCCATTAGCTATTGTTTCAATATATATACATGAGGTTGTCCAGATAAATAAGACTGAGCTCCTTCAATACTATTACAAGCAACAAATACTACAGAGGTCAATGGTGAAAGCGAACAGGGTTCAGTAATGGATGCAAAAAATATTCCTGTGACCCTACAATATTGTGGTTTGACAGTAAAGTGGTCACACAGCAGTAAAAGCAAAGGAGGCAAAGGTAGAAAAGGTTTATATGTGTGTGTGTCCTCTGTCATTTGTGTGATTCAGAGCCCATCAATGGGCCCCTTTACGCACAGACACTATTTAGGACAGCTGCTAAAATTCCTCAACCATTAACACACACACACACACACACACACACACACACACAGACACACACGCACGCCTGTTTTTAAGCGCACAGGCAGGAAATGGGAATCCCTCGTAAGTTTTCCTTCCGCCGTTGCTTTCCTCTCAAGGCTTAGAGGCCCCACGCCAAGGTGGGAAAAGCACTTCACCATTTGTCTCTCTCTGTCCAGAGACTCCACTGGATTTCACTTAACCTCAGAATCTGCCTCACAAAACCAGGCAGCGTTTTTTTAGCGTTATCCTTTAAAGGTCAGTCAAAATAATAGGCTGGCATTTTTTCCATAGGTCTAGCTTTCATACCTCCTTCTTAGAAATCTAAAAAAAAAAAAAAATGACATCAATTTAGAAAAGGCTTTCCAAGTGCTCTTCAATTCCAAAGAAATTACAACAAAAATTACACAAAGCAATAATCTTGACCTTATACCTCGGAAGTGAAATGGAAGGAGGAGTGAATGTACAGTAATAAGAGGGTACTAGCAGCAAGGGCTTAGCGAGGCATGCTCTTCTTCTAATGTACTCTTGGCACCAACAGTAAAAAGGGAATCCAGCCAAACAATTCCCTGTGATTAAGACTGGTTTGACAGACAGCAGAGGTCAGCCAAATGCCCCTAGTCTTAAGGGAGGGGTGAAGAACTCACTCTCGAGTAGCTGAAATTATACCCTACCCTCCTTGTACAACGGTTTCATCGGTCTCTGATGTCAACAGCAATGTCCACGTCATATCCTGCCTCCATATTTGAAGCCCTGTGCAGCCATGGTCAATCCATTTTCACCTTCACAGTTATGATGGTGTCATTTTTGCTACTACTCTTTCCAAATGAAAACACTAAAATGAAAAAAAAATAAAAATCTCTCACCTTTTTTTCTTTTCTCCTTTGTCTCATTGCTGTCTATAATAGATGAGCACCGTGTAGGTACAGTGACGTTTGTTACACAACTGTTGTCCAGCACTGACCCTTACATTTTCTCGCCACAGGTCACTTGTACTAATGATGTTACAGGAACTTGATCCCCGCGAGCTTATTCCAGTTACACTCGCTGCAATTTACTCTGGAAACGTAATTCAGCTAAACAAGTTAAACAGCTTGTCACCGTGTCGCTATGATGAGGTGGTTTCATAAGATACAAGCTTATTTGTCTTCAGCACTCTTGTAATTCACTCCACGTTTGTGTTTAGCAGCTACACGTTTTGCGAAACGAATGTGACATGGAACACTGTAATCAGCCAGTTATCTGCTGTCAAGTGGCATTTTAGTCAGCTTGATGGATTTTACCGTCTGACCAGTGTGAGTAAAGGGTCAGCCAACCACTCCCAGCGTCTGCCACTGGACAGAGATGCTAACAGGGCTCTGACAGATCCTGTCCCTCCCTCTCTGTCTCAGCTTAATTCATCACCCTCCAAACAAGACCTCCGGGTGCTAAGACCAGACCAGACACTCACAAGCTACTGCTCTCGTGAATCTTAGCTCGCCAACATACTCATACAAGTACACACACACACATACATGTCAAGGCATATGGGCCCTTCTACAGAAATGTATGCATAACGATCATCCATCACAGTCTGACAAAACAAACAATGCATCACATACATATGGCATCACCCATTGCAGCCTGTGACAAAATGTACTGAAGTATAAGCCACACACACACTCACAGACCATCAGTACCCATCATAGCCTGCCAAAACATTATGTGAAGTATGCACCACTGTAATAACATTGTGATTCACCTTGGGAAGTAATTGCTAAAGCCACGTAACTTGCTTGGCAACAGGTTTGTCTGATAAAAGCCTAAGTGCATTAGCAGCCTTGGTCAGAGGGGTCTTGTAGGCAATGTGAAAGCAGCACAAGGTCAGCTGAGCCTCCCTGGGTGTTGGCCAACTAAATAACTTAGGCCACTGCCAGATCCACTTGACTCCGATAATGCAGAAACACAGGATCAACTGGGGCAGATCTCACCTGCTGACACCTTAAAGCCTTTGCTCTTGGGAAGGGAATTAGTAAAGGATTTTCTTAGCCAGTGTGGTGTGAGTTACAGCATGTTTTTTTTTTTGAGTTGATCAGTGCCAAAGTACACTTGGCAATCATCGGACAAGCAGATAGCCTCTGAAAGAGCAAAGCCACAAGAGAAGAGAACTGTGGTATTAGACATTCTTCCCTGCTGAGTTTAATGGGTTATAACAATTGTATGGCCAAAACATCCACACCAGTGAATCAACACTGAAATTCCAGATGGTCTTTGAAATGGTCTTTGAAAAGTAGCAACCTTTCCTCACACTAAGACAGGACTATGTGTCCTAGGCAATAGAAGTTGTGCCGTATTTGCTTTTAAAACCTGGGCAGAGGGTGGGAAATTACCTCTAACCAGTGTCACATCTGTGGCAACTCATACAGATACACTGAACTCTATCATACAAAGCTTTTTTTCTGTAGTATTTACCAGCCTACATGCCTTGACAGTTAGAGAAAAGAGAAAAAACAGAAACCATAGCGATCTTCCCGCCCCCACAAAAAAAGTTCTAACAGGACCATGCTTTTAGAAAATACCACAATGTACCTCGATGTACCTCTTTGAATTTTCTTTGACTCCCAAATCTACCTCCACTTGTATATTCCACACATATGCCAAGCCACTGACATTAGTTAAAGAATACTCTACTCTGCTCTACAGAGTGAAAGAAGCAGCTGAAGCTTAATATGTTATAAATTTGTGGGAGCACACTTACCTCTTTTCTGCATGAATGTAAAGAGATCGTCCAAAAACTCCTTCCTTTTGGGGTCATTGTCCAGCTCATACAGCTGTAACAGAAAACAGAAGCTTATTAGTTCACAACTATTTGTTGTGCATCTCTTTCAGTGTCTTAAATTCTCACTGAAAGGGGGCTGTCTGGCTGCCATCTAAGAAAAATCTTTTATTTGCAAAATTGTTATCTCACATGTTCTCTATGTGGACGATTTACAAGTGGCATGAAAATGACTAAACCATTTAATGTATCTGCAATGCTGTTGGTAGTACAAATGCAGAGTAGTTCTTTCCCCTCACTCGGGCAAAGCACATCCAGCTGGTATCTTTGTAGTCTACTCAAGTTCAGCTTTTAACAGATGAGATGTGGCAGCATGAGGTAATGCATCCTTCAGTCTTTGTCATTCTTATTTCTTTGAAGCTTGTTTGGACATTGAGGTCTTTATGGAAATGTTTATAGCGACGCATTTGAAGAATGCTTCAAAAGGTCAAGACAACTGCAACTACTTCAACTTTCATTAGAATAGATGTTAGAATATAATTTACGTTTTCTTTTGGATGTTCAATGAATGAACCCACTGGAGATCCAGTGATCACATTTTTTAGGTGCTCACCTTAGCAAAGTCTCTGGAGGCCTCTCCTCTTCCTCTGCTGCTGTCAGCCTCATCTGCCCATCCTGCACTGCCATTCTGCAACAGACAAGAGAGAAAACACCAATAAGGTCAGCAAACAAACAGTCTGCACTGAGCTCAAAGCATTACCGAGGAGTTTTAACATGAATTTATAACTTTGTTTGATAGTGATAGAGATAACATGAGAAGACAGTGAAAAAAGCATGAAATGCAACATGGCTGTCGGTCACAATAAAACCATAGGTGTTGTTCAGTTCCTCTCCTCATGTAGATATAAACTAGTAATTCTTCAGAATGTGTTTCTCAGCTTTTTACCCACAAAAGATCCTATCAGGTTGACCCTGACTGAAGGTCAAAAAGTTCACATTAGTCTAAAAACCTGAGTAAGCTCTAAACTAGTTAAGACAACCAACATTCTGCAATACAAACTCATCCAAACTAATACATACTGAAACGCCAAGAATGCATTTTTCCAGAGGTTGCAGCAGTAACCTCTGGAGTTATTGTGCCCCTGAGCTCCTATATCCCCCTCCCCCTTCATCCTCAAACATCTCCATTTGACCTAAACCATCTGCATCTGGGCCTGCCCTGCCCCCACCCGTGTCTTCCGACCCAGCTGGATACAAGGGCCCCCCATCCTTCAATCTTAACGCAGCTGTGACGGGTGGCCAAGTTCATGGAGTGTAGCTGGCTGTCAGGAGGGGCCAGAGGAGGGTGGGCTGGTCAGTAGCCTTAACGCACGCACACACACACACACACACACACAAACACACACATGTGCAAAGGCTGATCATGGCTGTGTGTATGTTTGTGAGTGCAGGGAGGGGGGGGCAATGGCCCCACAAGACGGGAAGGAAGGAAAATAAGGGCAGAAAGGGGTGCACGGTATGTGCCGACCAGGAATGTCTCCTAAAGACAAAACCTATAAAAGCATCAGGAATCAAAACAAGATCCGTTTGGAGGGGACGTTAATAGCTGCAGCCCGGGGTCTAGTTTCAACCAGGAGCCCATTGGTCAGTGGCAATTACAGGGCCTGAAACGAGAGCCAGGAGGGCAAAGGTTGTCAAGGCCCCTGAGAGCAAGTCATTTTCACCCTCTCACTCTCTGTATGTGTAACGGTTGTCAACATTCATGCTCCCTAAACAAATACTCATCAGCCATCAACTTGGAAACCACTGCAAATGTGTCTCAACGTAACTAGCTGAATGCACTTTTCTTTCAAAATGCAGAGCGAACATGCTCTCTAACACACTAAACATACAAAATGCTAATCTTTACTAGCACGGAAAATAAGTTAAATAATACAAATTTGACAAATGTGAAAAATGTTTTCCTTCTAAAACTGGCATGAAATGCTGAGTAACAAAACGCTATATTTTCATTAAAGAAAAACTAAAACTTTTTAAGTTTAATGTTAAAATCTTCTGACATACCAGCAGAATGATAATACATCTAGTTTCAAAAAACAACTTTACATTCTCCCTCAGACGTCTCAGCTGATTGAAAATTAGTCTACAAACAGCTCGTTCTTTATCAAAAACACGTTTCATGGTCAACGTACATTATCTATAATAAGTGACTGAGATTACAACAGGTTGATCATGTGAAGGTGAATATACAGTATGGTGGTACATTTGTAGACCTTTGCACACTATTTGACCACCTCAGTTAAACTTTAACCATTATAAATGATTCTAACAGAAGATAATTCACATTGCAGACATGTGCTTACTGTCACATAAAAAACTTAAGAGCACAGTTTGTGCACGCTGGATGTTTCCCCATTCTACAGCCCCGAGGTCGACACTGTGTAATCTTACTGACAGTAACCGAATAATGAGCCATTAAGCTACACGGTTTGCAAGTTAGTGTGCTCTATTACTAATTTATAATGACAGTTATATAAACCTGCATGCGTCAATGTCACAGCAGATTAAAAAAAAGCAAAAGAAACCTTAAATCCATTCAAATTAAAGTGCCACTGTCAGGACATACAGATAGATCTATTAACTGTGAACTTTACTTAGTGATTTATATCGTCTAATACATTAATTCACAGGAGCAGTCACTGAAAGCGCATTACTATGAGTCGCCTAAAGCTGGTACTAACAGGACTCCAGATTAACTTTTTACAATAGCTTCACTGGTGTACCAAATTGTTTTCATTTAAATATTTTTAGCCGCACGCTTTGGCGCCGCAATAACAAGCATTATAGTGGAAGCTGCTGTATTTACTCCAATAACATTTGTTACTGTCATTTATTCTGACAGTTTATTTTGACAATAACAAATGATGAGGATAAACTGTAATGTAATAAGCTGCCTGCTGCATCTCCGCTCACAAGAGAAAACGCAGCACAAAAGGGCTGAGGATGTGTATAGATGATGGGTGTGGAGCTAGCAGTGGGGACTCGCGCTGGGTTTGTCACTGACTGGTGAACAGTGCATTCATGATTACTAAAGGCTACTGCCTTACCCCTGCCAAATGAAACAATATGAAGACCCATCCCCAAACCAAAGTGACTTGACTCACCACTTGGTTTTGCTCAGACATGGGACATTAACACTGTTTACAACTAACATATTAAATGAGGAGCCCTGATTAACTCCCAGCTTACCAGTATCAAAAGAGCTATAGCTGCTGGGTTACTGGTCATAGATTTGTTACGGGAACACAAACATGTTTATACACAAACCCCACCTACACACACACACACACACACACACACACACACACACACTCCTGCCTCCCTGAGGGACACTCTGTGTTATGGGAGCGCGGGGTCAAGGTGTTTGTGACATCAACTGAGAACAAAGGTCTAAAGTGACTGAACACCACTGTCCAAACACAAAGCCAAAGTGTGACACTACTTTGGCTTCATGTTCCGTCCCCTCCTCTGCTTCAGCCACATTTTCTAAGGTGCCCGTAGCAGATGGGATTTTGAGAAATGTTGTAATTCAGGATTTTTAATCAACTGCTATTCTGTATATAAAAAAAAAAAAAAACAGTCGGCACACTTTCCTTCACGATGCAGGTGAGGTAGTTAAAGAGATCAGAATGTTAATCCTTGTCCAGTAAAAAAATACTCTAGTGTTTAGCTGAAAGTTGCATAATGGTACTCTCATTTGAGAATTTAATTTAATATACTTTGGTGTTTGTCGACAACGGCGGTAAATTAAGACAAAACTGATACTGTGCTATATGTCCAATTAATAAATTAATATCCATATGATGTAAAAATCTAACACAACAGCAAACACTTAAAGTTATTTTTTTTATTGTTTTGCCACAGCTAAATCCAGACCAAGCTGTCACACTGTGATGGACAGCTCTTCCAGCAACAACTGGTTACAATCTCCTATCCACATACACAAAAGGATAATTTAAACCTTAAACATCATATCCACTCAAATTTGCTCCACACAACTGCAGCATCATTTTGCCTGAACTATGGAGTGCTCTGCTGTTTTGAACAAAGACTATTGGTTTCTCCTCTTCCACAGCAATAAAGTATAGAGGGCAAGGTGAGGCGGAGTTGCTGATATAATGAAAAAGGCAGATGGTGGCAAACATAAAAAAAAGAAAACTGGTGCACTGCTACTTTATATATGATGAAACAGGGATGGCTTTTATTACAGCCATAACCAAAGTCATTATAATCAACCACATGTCTGCAATAAAGATATTTCTTCACCACATTGCTAACTGGATGTCGATGCCGTTGGTATGAAACTTCTGGTTTCTAGAGCACGGGGCTTTGAAGACATCTGTGAAGGATTCCCCAAGATTACGTCTTAAGAGTTTAAATTCTGCTGTCACTGTCATAATGCAAATAAGTTCAGCTGCATCAATAGAAAACCTGTCTCCTACTTTAGCTGGTTCAAAAAAAACAAAACAAAAAAAAAACACAGTAATTATAACATGGAAGCCGTTAACCATGAATAGACATGTTGGCTCTTGAATTGGGACCTTGGTCAGCTGAGGAATGTTAACACTATGTTGCTTTTTGTTAAGTTAGAGTGGATACTGATGTGTTTGGACTGCTCCTTATGATCAGTCACCTCAGCCCCTTCATCACATTGAGCACTCCACCCAAAAATGACTTCTTTAAAAAAAGACGTTCCCACACCCTACATACAGTCCTGACAGATGTACAAGGCTTGGCTTGCCTGATATAATTCACAACTGTTTCAATGAACCGCTTAAAACATGTGACTTTATGTTATGTAGGTGGACTGTAAGTAAATTGGCTATTGCAGAGCAGACTTTGAACTTTTTTTTTTCTATTTTAAACACGCTTACATCCAGATATTTAAGAGTATACTTGTGCAAACTACAATTTCAATTAGGTCAAATGAAATTATAATATTTATCTGAAGCATTAAGACACGTCTGTGTGTCTATGCATGTGCATTGCCTGCACATGCTAGTGTGTGTGTGTGTGTGTGTGTGTGTGTGTGTGTGCTGGGTGTAAGATGAACAGAAGCCTTATGTTTAAGCAGCCCGGGTCTCCTCTCTGTCTCTCTCATGCTGTTAGCAGGTTTACTGGCCAGGCGGTGGGTGGCCTAATCACATTATGGCCATACGTGACTGACTGGCGCGGTGCCAAATCAGGGATAAGAATAAGGTAGATGACGAGAAGTGAGCAGAAGCTGGTCATCACAAAGGGGGAGGAAAAAAACTGTGCACATGTTGACATACAAATAGTACCTCTGTGCCTGTACAAGTTCTCTTGATGAAAATGGTTTTCGAGTGGGGGTTCAAAGGTCCCCTGAGGTTTATGATGCACATTTTGATTTGGTATTTATCTCTAAAAAAAAATACAAAAACAAATATGGCAAAGTAATTAACGAGAGCCACTCTTCCTGCTACCATGCAAGCGCTGATATATAAATATGTTCTGGTCGTTGAATAATCATCTACTTATTAAAACCTTTGAACTGTTTTTAGATTGGTAATAAGACTAGCATCATGGCTCTAGTGGTAATTATTTCATTTTTAAATAAACACACTGTAAAAAGCAGGCATTTGCATTCTAAAATGTTGCATTATATGC